GTATGAGGCAAACTTAATTCCATTTTTTAATTTTCTTTTATAAACTAAACTAGTGATAAAACAAGAAACTAAAAGACTCAATTGCAAGATCTAAAGATATACATTCAAGCACTAACCACCCCGGCAACGGCGCCAGAAACGAGCTTGATGTCTACTACACAACCTTCTTCTTGTAGACGTTGTTGGGCCTCCAAGTGCAGAGGTTTGTAGGACAGTAGCAAATTTCCCTCAAGTGGATGGCCTAAGGTTTATCAATCCGTAGGAGGCGTAGGATGAAGATGGTCTCTCTCAAGCAACCCTGCAACCAAATAACAAAGAGTCTTTTGTGTTCCTAACACACCTAATACAATGGTAAATTGTATAGGTGCACTAGTTCGGTGAAGAGATGGTGATACAGGTGCAATATGGATAGTAGATAAAGGTTTTTGTAATCTGAAAATATAAAAACAGCAAGGTAACTAATGATAAAAGTGAGCGTAAACGGTATTGCAATGTGTTGAAACAAGGCATAGGGTTCATACTTTCACTAGTGCAAGTCCTCTCAACAATAATAACATAATTGGATCATATAACTATCCCTCAACATGCAACAAAGAGTCACTCCAAAGTCACTAATAGCGGAGAACGAACGAAGAGATTATGGTAGGGTACGAAACCACCTCAAAGTTATTCTTTCCAATCAATCCGTTGGGCTATTCCTATAAGTGTCACAAACAGCCCTAGAGTTCGTACTAGAATAACACCTTAAGGCACAAATCAACCAAAACCCTAATGTCACCTAGATACTCCAATGTCACCTCAAGTATCCGTGGGTATGATTATACGATATGCATCACACAATCTCAGATTCATCTATTCAACCAACACATAGAACCTCAAAGAGTGCCCCAAAGTTTCTACCGGAGAGTCAAGACGAAAACGTGTGCCAACCCCTATGCGTAGGTTCATGGGTGGAACCCGCAAGTTGATCACCAAAACATACATCAAGTGAATCACGTGATATCCCATTGTCACCACAGATACACACGGCAAGACATACATCAAGTGTTCTCAAATCTTTAAAGACTCAATCCAATAAAATAACTTCAAAGGAAAAACTCAATCCATTACAAGAGAGTACAGAGGGAGAAACATCATAAGATCCAACTATAATAGCAAAGCTCGCGATACATCAAGATCGTACCACCTCAAGAACACGAGAGAGAGAGAGAGAGAGAGAGAGAGAGATCAAACACATAGCTACTGGTACATACCCTCAGCCCCGAGGGAGAACTACTCCCTCCTCGTCATGGAGAGCATCGGGATGATGTAGATGGCCACCGGAGAGGGATTGCCCCCCTGCCTCGTGGCTTCCTCGTTGCTTCCCTTACGTGGACTCCAAGTCTCCCGGGTTTCTTTCCTTCCAAAAATAAGTTTCGTGAAGTTTCAGGTCAATTGGACTCCGTTTGATTTTCCTTTTCTACGATACTCTAAAACAAGCAAAAAAACAGAAACTGGCATTGGGCTCTAGGTTAATAGGTTAGTCCCAAAAATCATATAAAATAGCATATAAATGCATATAAAACATCCAAGGTTGATAATATAATAGCATGGAACAATCAAAAACTATAGATACGTTGGAGACGTATCAATCATCACGTGGTGTCTCGAAACGACAAACTTTCGCAACAGTGCATACTCGGGGAGGACACTTTAACCTTGAAATTTAGTGAAGGGATCATCCTATAATGCTACCACCGCACTAAGAAAAATAAGATGCATAAAAGATAAACATCACATGCAATTAAAATATGTGACATGATATGGCCATCATCATCTCGTGCTTTTGATCTCCATCTCCAAAGCATCGTCATGATCTCCATCGTCACCGGCTCAACACCTTGATCACCATCGTTGCGTTGTGGTCGTCTCATGAACTATTGCTTCTACAACTATTGCTAACGCATAGTGATAAAGTAAAGCAATTACATGGCGTTTGCATTTCACACAATAAAGAGACAACCATAAGGCTCCTACCGGTTGCCGATAACTTACAAAACATGATCATCTCATACAATAACTTTTATCACATCATGTCTTGACCATATCACGTCACAACATACCCTGCAAATACAAGTTAGACATCCTCTACTTTGTTGTTGCAAGTTTTACGTGGCTACTACGGGCTTCTAGCAAGAACCGTTCTTACCTACGCATAAAACCACATCAGTGTTTCGTCAAGTTTGTTGTTTTGACCTTCTTCAAGGACTGGCCGTAGTCAAATTCGATTTAACTAAAGTAGGAGAAACAGACACTCGTCAGCCACCTTTATGCAAAACTAGTCGCATATCTCTTGGTGGAACTGATCTCATGTGCGTGGACATGTAAGGTTGGTCCGGGTCACTTCATCCCACAATACCGTTGAATCAAAATAAGACGCTGGTGATAAGCAGTATGACTATCACCGCCCACAACTCTTTGTGTTCTACTCGTGAATATCATATATGCATAGACCTGACTCATGATGCCACTGTTGGGTATCGTTGCATGGAAAAAATCTACGCTCACGCAATGATCTAGCAATGGAGATGCATAGCAACGAGTGGGAGAGTGTGTCTGTGTACCCTCGTAGACCGTAAGCAGAAGCATTTCATAATGCATTTGATGTAGTCGAATTTCTTCGCGCTTCAACCGATCAAGTACCAAACGCACGGCACCTCCGCGTTCTGCACATGTTCAACTCGGTGACGTCCCTCGCCTTCTTGATCCAGCAAGACGTCGAGGTAGTAGATGAGTTCCGTCAGCACGATGGCGTGGTGACGGTGATGGTGAAGTCATCTCCGCAGAGCTTCACCTAAGCACTACGAAAATATGACCGGGGGTGTAAACGGTGGACGGGGGGCGCCGCACACGGTTAGGCAATTGTCTAGTGTGTGCTAGGCGCCCCTTCCCACATATATATGGTGGGAGGGAGGGAGGAGCAACCATAGGAGGCGCCCAAGTAGGAGGAATCCTACTTTGAGTCCCTCCCAAGCCCTCCCACCCCCCCTCCCCCCGCCATATATAACCGAGGGGGAGGAAAGAGGGGGAGAGGGAAGGAAGTGGGAATCTTAATCCACACTTTCCTTTCCCTTCTCCTCTTTCCTTCTCCTCCTTAGGCCGGCCCATATGGAGGCGCACCAGCCCCTTGTGGCTGGTGTGTTTCCCCTCTTCGCCCATAAGGCCCATATCTTTTGTCGGGGGTGCCCGGAACCCCTTTCGGTGACCCGATATGTATCTGATACCCCCCGAAACACTTTCGATGTCCGAATACCCTCGTCCTATATATCAATCTTTACCTCTCGACCATTTTGATACTCCTCATCCGGGACTCCAAACAACATTCGGTCACCAAATCACATAACTCATATAATATTATATCGTCATCGAACGTTAAGTGTGTGGACCCTGCGGGTTCGAGAACTATGTAGACTTGACCGAGACACCTCTCCGGTAAATAACCAATAGCGGAACCTATATGCCCGTATTGGCTCCTTCATATTCTACGAAGATCTTTATCGGTCGAACTATTATGACAACATATGTAATTCCCTTTGTCCATCGGTATGTTACTTGCCCGAGATTCGATCGTCGGTATCTTCATACCTAGTTCAATCTCGTTACCGGCAAGTTTATTTACTCGTTCCGTAATACATCACCTCATGACTAACTCCTTAGCCGTTTGCTTGCAAGCTTATGATGTGTATTACCGAGAGGGCCCAGAGATACCTCTCCGATACTCAGAGTGACAAATCCTAATCTCGATCTATGCCAACTCAACAAACACCTTCGGAGATACCTGAGCATCTTTATGATCACTCAGTTGTGTTGTGACGTTTAATAGCACACAAGGTATTCCTCTGGTATCCAGGAGTTGCATAATCTCATAGTCGATGGAATAAGTATTTGACATGAAGAAAGCAGTAGCAATAAATTGAACAATCATTATGCTAAGCTAACGGATGGGTCTTGTCCATCACATCATTCTCCTAATGATGTGATCCCGTTATCAAATGACAACTCATGTCCATGGTTAGAAAACCTTAACCATCTTTGATCAACGAGCTAGTCTAGTAGAGGCTTACTAGGGACACAGTGTTTGTTTATGTATTCATACATGTATTAAGGTTTTCGATCAATACAAATATAGCATGAATAATAAACCTTTATCATGAATAAGGAAATATAAAAATAACAACTTTATTATTGCCTTTATGGCATATTTCCTTCACTTTATTCGGTTGTTTCTTTGCATATAAAGCGAAGCGAAAGCCTCTTTTGAGGTCGGGAGAGCCAACATGATTCTTTTGAGATGGTTTACACCCTAAGCAGCCTCTGATACACTTCTCTCATCTAGAAACAGAGGGATGACACACTTTGCTTCTTCTTTTTATGAAAAACTTCCAATCTATTCATCTTTGATCATGACAGTACAAAGAACAATAAAGGTAATAAAAATTACAACGATGTGCATGAACCACTTAGAGCATCTCCAATAAATGCGCTATATAAGCCGCGCGTTGAAAAAGATGCCTATATAGAGTGTGCGACAAAAATAACGCTCCAACAGAAGCTGTAAAATAGAGCACGCATAAAGATGAAGCTGTAAATTTAGTGAACACGGGCTGCGGGGCTGCAAATTTGGGACGCCGGCTTGTGCGCGCGGGCTGCTGCATGTGGGGCCACCGGGTTGGGCGTCGTGTTTTTGTGCGTCTGTTAAACCTCCCGCGCGCAAAAACACTATTTCAGCTTTGCAAAACCGTTTTAGCGCGCCGCGCTACCGCGCGTCTGTTGGAGATGCTCTTAGCAACCACTACAAACACTGGATTTGGTGCATAATTTTATTCCCAATCGCTGCACGCGATGGCTACAGCTTACATAACCCCCGCTTATTAAGTGCATGCAGCTCAGATATCACGTCTCACTTGCATCTCAACACCAAAGGCATGAAGCACGTCGGACATGTGCAAGGAGCCTCTACGTCAAGCGTGCACGACGATCTTGGTGTATTTCGTCATATCGGTGGTGGCGCGGCCGCCGGCGCCGTCCAGCGGGAAGTAGAAGGGGTAGATCTCGTAGCGCACCCTGCAGCTGCTGTAGTTGATCTGGCAGCCCTGCTGCGCGCCGCAGTAGTCGCCGAACTTGGACAGCGCCACCGAGACGCACTGCGCGCACACCAGCGGCGCGAGGTCCCGCGTGCACTGCGCCAGGCCGTAGATGGTGACGAACGGCGTGTACTGGTCCTTGGACCTGCCGAGCCCCGCGCGGCCCGACGCCGACGCCTGCGCCGTCGCCTTGTTCATCACCTTCCCCACCGCCTTCTTGAACGGCTTGGGGTCGTCCGCCGCCTGCACGTTCACCAAGATCACGCCGGCGCCCGTGTCCGACTGCCCGGCGAAGTCTGTGTCGTCGTACCGCATGAAGCAGAAGTCGTACCTGCACGCGCGTACGTACAGGCCAGCCAAGCTTAGCCAGATGATTAAGCATGTATATCCATCGATCGTTCTAAACTTGTAAGAGGATGATTATAGGAAGTGGTACCATATTCTGGCGTCGGATAGGTAGCTGCAGGCAGTGGGGAGCTGCTTGGCGGCGTCCGCGAGGCAGGAGGAGCAGTCGCTGGCGGAGACGTCGCCGCGGCATTGCGCGAGGCCGTAGACGACGGTGCTATTACCCTTGCCGGCAACGGCCGTGGCGAAGCCTCCCGAGGAGCCCTTGGCGACGAGGTCCGCCAGGACGGAGTCGATGTTGGCCTTGCCGCTGCCAGCGTACCTGGTCCCGGCGCAGTTACTGCCAATGGCGTCCATGGCCATGCCCAGAGGGAGCAGAGCCATGCCGAGAAGCAGCAGCCCGCTGCGCGCTCTGCAAAGTGCCATGGTGCTAGCGATTGAGCTTGCCATGTGTGTGGCGAATGGTGGGAGCTTATAACAAGTGCGAGCGTGCTGCCTTTCTTTGACTGCTTAATTGGATTGCGTACAATGCCAGACGTCGACACTAGAATGAGGCCGTGGACCGAGCTATTGCTGAATCAGCCAAGGGTCCATGCACATGGGCAGAGAGGGATGGGCATATCGTGCATATCTTGCTGCTTGGTACTTGCTACTCCCTCCCTTCCGAATTACTTGTTGCGGGTATGAATGTATCTAGATGTATTTTAGTTTTAGATACATCCATTTCTACGATAAGTAACTTGGAACGGAGGGAGTAGTTGCTACAGCTAGCTGGTTCGCGGCATTTCATGACTCGTTGACTTGTCTTTGTGAGGATGTGGCTTGGTAATGGGTGGCAGGGATTGTGAGAATCCAATGAGTTTTGACTCCCTGTGGAAAAGGCAATCTGGACGCAACGCGCTGTGGAAAATCCGCATTCGATTCCTGGGGCTTCAAAGGAGCAGAGACGGTACCCGTAAAAATAAAAGAGCAGAGACGGAACTGAAAAAGAAAGCTCGTTATTTCGAGCAAGCATTTTATGGATCAAAGATATGTAAGACACACCCTCAGATTTTTCCTTTTTGAGGGGTAGCCACACCCTCGGTTTTTTTTTTTTGAGTGGACACACTCAGTTGTTGAGTTATACTATCGTCGGGTGGTAGAAAACATTTGTTCAGTTATTCACATGGCGATCGCGGACCCCGCTTCGGTGCAAATTCTTTGCTTGACTTGCGATCATGAACCGATGCTGGACCTCGGATAGATTGGCACGAAGAAGGCGGCTGCACCAGGATTCATGCCCTTTCTGTGATCAGCATGAGGAGACGATTGGCCATCTGCTCATCGAGTGCGTTCTTGCACGCAAAGTGTGGGCCAAGGTCTTCACGGCCTTAGGCATTCAGCAGGGCGTGCCGCAACCAGGAGAGACATTACCGGACTGGTGCGCTCGAGAGGGTGTGCATGGGCATCGAGGACGATGCGTACCGTATGCCTCCTTGCCATGTGGGAGCTATGGAAGCACGGGAACGCCACAGTCTTCAATGACGCGAGGGCCTGGCTCCCGCTGTCTCGTTGGTCCTGAGCTGGATGGCGAGTGAAAATAATGTATGGATGCGGATGAGGCTGCTACGAGGAGAGTTGGATGTGTTCTCCGTAGCAACGCCGGAGTGGGCCCATAGCGAGTAGTCGGATTAGCTCATAGGTGGACGTCCGTAACGCCGTGTAATCTTTCCTTGTAACATAACTGCGCAAGGCTCTTTCCCTTTTTTCTATAATATATGATAAGCATACTCATGCGTATTTGAGAAAAAAAACATTTGTTCTAATGGATCACGGCCATTAAGAGTTGGTGATGTAGTATGTGTGATGAGTTGGGAAGTATGCATATTGAGAGAGAATATAAGTAGATGCCGAATCACAGGCGAGCGCACACACAGATTCTACACAGGTCGCGGCCTTTAGCTTCCCCTCACTCACCAACAACGTATTTCATAAAAACTACTGGTTCTCGAAAAAGAAATTAGAGTTTTTATTGATCAAAAAATCATGCAATCAAACAATGTAAATAGAAAACATTTTTTAAAGTGCATTTAGAGGAAAAAAATTAAAAACATATTCACAAAATTGAAACAAGCTCATGAATAAAAAATCATTAAATTTACACAATTGTTAATGGATTTAAAAATCTTTATGAATTTTAAAATAAAACATAAATTCACAAAATTAAATAAATGTTGATAATTTTAAAAAAGAAAAGAAAAAAAGCAAGAAAAAACAGAGAAAGAACCACCAAAAAACCAGATGGGTCCGTCGAAAAAGTTACCAAAAGTTTTCTTGCAAACCAAATATTTTTTTCAAATTCGTGAACATTTTTCATGTTATACAAACTTTTGTGAACTTTTAATTTTTGTGACCTTTTACAAAATCAAACTTTTTCAAATTATTAAAGTTCCGAAGTCATGACATTTTTCATAATTCATGAATAGTTTTTTGCTTTTTTGCAAATTCATGAAGTTTTTTGAAATTATGAACTTAAGTTGTGAGCTTATTTCAAATTCATATTTTTTATAAAAAATATTGTAAACTCTTTTAAAATTCATATTTTTTCCAAAATGTCAAAGTCAATGTTCTATGGCCAAGGGCCAACGGTCCACGGTCGGGGCCGATAGTCGAAGGTCAGTGGTCTCATCGGCCGCAGCCCATCTGGTGCATTGGTGAGCGCAACTTCCGTAGTGGGCGCTATAAGCGTCGCAAAGGAGCTCTCGCGGTTGGCTCGATTCGTAGTACATGCATGGGGACCTCCTATTTGCGTCAAATAAGAGGATTGCCACAAAAAGGGAGTCGTGGATGGGCTGACGCATCGCACGAACTACAGCGAGCTGCGAATGAGCCATGCAACTATAGGCTACTAAAGACAACATTTTTAAAATTTTGAGGATATCTTTTAACTAGTTTTTTATCCAAATAATGTAACAGTTTTTTAAAACATGAAAACATGCTGAATATTTTATAAAATTGTGAATAAAAAATAAAAAATCAGCCATGAACCTTTTAGAATGTTCCGAAACCGGTCATGATCCTTAAACCGGATCTGCTTAAAATGGGCTGACTGATTTAACTCGTTCGTTTCTCTCTCCTGTGTCCATTTTGGCAACAGTTTGACGCACTGACCGTCAAATAAAGAATAAAAACAAGGCGCGAAGAATCCAACTAAACACCATGGAGATGGCCCGAGCATAAAACCATGGACGGGAATACCCATTTGCCCTTTTCCATTTTAGCTTGTTGTTGCTTTTTTTCTAGGGTTGTCGATCCATAAGGCGCAATAAATCCCATTCTGTTCAAGCCCATTCTCTAGGCAGATCGTTTTCACTCAAGTATTTGAGAATATCATCTATATAAAGTATTTAAGAATATGCGTCTAAGAAAAGTATTTGAAATCACATACCCCTACCTAACTTTGTCAGGTATCGACAGACAAACTCGTTACCCCCTAACTTGTGAAGTAACAAAAACAGATTATACAACCCTAGTGTGTGTTTTAAAGACGGTTTTGCTGATAGGATGCATATGAAACACGGTTTTAACTACATGGATAAATGATTTCATAAAAAAATACATGGATAAATTATGGAAAATAAGCGAAATAATGTGCAACTAATATTTTTAATAATTTTTAAAATCATTTTATTTTTTAAAAATACTCCAAGGTTTATAAAATATGAAAAATATGTGAAATATGGCATAATAAATAATCACTTAATATTCTGTCAACATTGATACAAAAAATGCATAGAAGTTTTTCTTAACTGGAGTTGCACATTTTCCCCTATTTTTCTTGTTTACAATTTGGTTGTTTATTTTTATTTCTTTATCAAAGTCTTCATATTTTACTTAGCTTATAGTATTTCATAGTTTATTAATAATTTTTTTATTCTTCATGGATTTACGTATTCATAAAAAAAGGTTTACACAAAATATTTTAAAATCCTTGGTTGTCATATGCACATGTGGTCAATACCACCTTTTGTATGCACAACGTCACCAAAACAGCTTTGCAAACCTATTTTAGAGAGTTTTATTAAT